GAGTAGAAAATGAAGGCTAATCATGTTTTGGGTGTACTATTCCTTTAAGATCTAAAGAGAAGCGCCATCTCCTGGTCAGACCCTGTAATTCAGTGAAAGGGTGGAGTCAGCCAGTGGCTGGAAGTGGGCTGCCATTCGTCTGCCGTTTGACTGGGATGGGCCATTTTGAATGGCTGCTACTGTAGCTGCATATCTAAAAGTCCTTTACATACATATACAGTCCATAAAAATAATACATTTAACATTGCATGGTTTAATAACCTGTTCCCTAATGTTACCCAACTATTGACAAACCCAAATCAGCGTCAATTAACCACAAAACACAGAACTGGAAAAAAGGAATCACTGAAAATTAGGGTTGCAACTAACGATTATTTTGCAAATCGATTAATCCGTCGATTATTTTTAATCAGATAACCAAAGTTAAAACAGGCGAAACTAAAACTTTTCCACTGGATAAAGTTGGATAAACTTCTGGATAAATCTGATTGACAGAGAATTTTTTATTTTCTTAACTTAAATGCAAAATTTTTATATATATTTTTAACAATCTTGGTATAATTGCTGCTTTAAGCGGGTCGCTCTGTCAGCTAAAGGCCTGTTTTACTGTCTCTTAGTATCTCCATAATCCATTAATTGTTTCAGCCCCACTGGACATGGAAGATTTTAGTCACGTTTATAAGAGTGTGACATTAGGAGATATAGAATACAATTTTCCATATTTTAAAGCCCTTTAGACCTTCCACAGTGGATATTTATAATATTGACTGAAAGCAATAAAAAACAAATATATGTTTTTAAATGTAGATATATAAAAAAAAACAGGATTCAACAGATTTCTTTAATGGAAAAAAAATCTTTAACTTCACAGCAGAAAGAAAAATATCCATAATACTTGTTTAATTGATTTTATTTAATGAATGAAAATATATATTTGTGTTAATGATGGAAGGAACCAGTGCTTGAATCTTTCAGTAACATTTCATCCATCCATGCTTGCTGGACTGTGGGAGACTGGTGCAACTCTCCACTAATCACTGGCTGAAAAACATGGTGCACTACAGAAAGATTGCAGTCTATCACGGTACGTTCACCAGTAACACCAGTTCCTCTGAATAAACAAGATGATTTATTGTCTGGAGGTTATAATAATAAGAACAGATATGGCTTCATATTAGACATCAACAGATTGATGTGCACTTTTGATTTCAAACCCTAAAAGTGTTTCCACGTTTATGCATTTGGTAATCAAAGTTGAGATGTTCTGATCCGTAATCCCATCCACTGTCGCTTGATGCTCGTCTATAAACTTAGCAGTAATGTTTTAGAAGTAGGATGAGTTTGAATCTCTCTGTGTGATTTTATTGACTCGACTTCTCGTGGATTTTTGCAGTAACCCGACTTAAAAATAATTCTTTGAATGCAGCGTTTAGCAGCACATTAGATAGAATGCAGTTTCAGCATGCAAGGAGAAAATCAGAAAGACGCATGCATCCCTGAACCACTGACTCCATCGCCCACAACTTATCAACTTAATGTTTCCAAATATCTTTCCCAGATTGAGTTTTCAAAGCGTTTCACAGCGGTCAGGAATGTTTGTAGATCAGACACTTCAAAACGTTCTCGGAGCTGTAGAGCAACAGGATTATTTTCTCTGATGTGAAATGTGTTTTGGAACCAGCAGAACCTAAAGAGTTAATGAAAATGTTCCCTTACATCCTGTTAGATCTCAGTGCTGCATTTGATCATAATCATAATAATCATAATAATAATCATCATAATAATCATAATAATCTCTCTGCTTTTTCTCATAGTAGCTTCATCTGGTCTGTTCCTGTTTGGCTGTGACTCCATCCTGGAGAGAAATATCAGCTGTGCTG